CATAATGGGTTTATAACATTTATAGAGTTTCTATTGTATAATATTACTATTTTGATTAGGATCCACCAAAATGTTGGTACCACTTCCGAAACTTTTTTTATATTTCCAATACTATATAAAAAGTGGGGTCCTTTCTAGATTGGGAGTCCTATTCAATTGTTTAAAAAAAACTCTCCTCATATCCCGCTCTGTTCATCATGTGCATGATCCCATACAAATACGATGTATGGATGTGTAAAAGCCATTCTTTCTGCCAATAAAAATGTTTTGAAAAGAAAAGACAAATTATAACTGCACACCAACCCAAAACGTGGCCAGTCAACCTGTCAGCAAAAGCCAAGGAAATGTAAGAAACACTAATTTCGGGTGGTAGTAGCTAATTTGGACTTTTGCAAAGATTTTTTCATTGTAAGCTAATTTCGGTGTCATCCGGATGTTTTGCTAGTTCCGATCTCTTTTATGTCTTTGTTTATTGCTGTCGATTATCCAATTTTATTCTAAATTTCTTCGTTTTTCTCCATTTTTATGAGGAGTAATATCTTCGTCATAAACCTCTTGTTCACGACGCATAAACAATGATGGAACACAGCCTACATCAATTTTGGGTGTAGCGGTGACGGAGCTTCCCCGAAGATGGCAATTTGCGGAGGATTTTTAAAGTGGTTTGACGGATATATTCGGATGTTTCGGCAATTTCATTGACGGGTTTCGAAGGAGAACGGTTTTCCATCGTTTCTAGGATGATTAGTGGCGGCTAATCGGAGTATCGGCAGAGATCTGGCGACGGCTCGGTGGTACTTCATGATGCACGACATAAACGTTTCTAGAAGCAAGCGTTTTATGTTGGGCTATTAAACTTATTGTACTGGGCTTCTCTTTCTGTAATGGCCATTTGGGGTTTTTTTTAATGAAATCTATCTTGGCCGACAAAAAAAAAAAAAAGCTAAGCGGAAAACTCATTTTATCTCTTAACTCTCATAAAAGAGGCTGAGTTCGCCCTAAAAGCTCTCAGACACGTTGTCCGAGGGAGCCATCGATGAGTCTTCTTCTCTGCCGGTAATTCCGGCGAACGGGAAGATCCTCTTATTCTGATCGGAACCACCATCTTTCCGGTTCGAGTGAGACCTTCTCCAGCCTTCGACGCGAGCTTCTCCCTCTGATGGTTGTCCCCTCGCTGTCTTCCCTCGCAATGACATGCCAATCGAAACTGATCAGCCCTGCTCACCATCGGGGATTGACCGACCCGTCGCCTCTTGACCGTCTGATACCGCCGGATCCACCGGACCGGTCCCGATATTGCACAGATTCTAGTCTACTGCTTATGTGCTTCTTCCGCCGTTGGGGTATCACTGCTCTCTCGACTCCATCTCCTCTGTCGTTTTCTCCGGATCCACCGAGTAAACAACTCCCACCGACGGGATCTGATGAGTTCCTCTTTGCCGAACAATCTGCTTGTTATGGTACGGAAAACCAGATTCTCCAGCCACCGCCTTCAACCCCTGTGGCACCGCCGGAGTTTCCTTCTCCGGAGCCTACTCTCCTCCGTCCTTCTTCGGCCGAGATAGCTGATGGCTCCTTCCTCCCGTCTCTTCCATGGTACGAAATCTCTCTTATATGGGTCTGGCCCATTAGGAGTCTTTGGCTCTTTAGCCTTACAAAGCTTTTTTCCATGCCTTCAAAGCCCATATTGTGGTATGCATTTGTGGTTGTTGTTTTTACTAGCCGGAATACATCCAATGCTTCATCGAGGATGGTTTATTTTGCAACTTCCTTACTTATTTGGAAAAATAAGAAATCAGCTCCAACTTCCTTACTTATTTGAAAAAATAAGAAACCAGCTCCAACTTCCTCCTTCGTCGAAGAGAAATCAATTGCATTGTCCCCTTCTAATGGAGAGAGAACCTTTTCACCATCTTCCCTATCTTTGAGAGGGGTCGTAGTCTCGAGCGGTTCGCCGGGAATCCTTAAGAATTCTCTTACCGCCTTGCCTTTTTATGTAGTGTTCTATACGAGACTAAAAGAAGAAACCAGACTCGTTGCGACGACGAAGACCGGAGGTAGAGATTCGTTTTTAACGTCACATATGAAAGTGACTAATTTCAAGCGATCCGGCTTTGCCGTGAATGCTTTTTTGCCGTGAATGCTTTTTTAACGCATTTGAGTCATGCCTCAAATCTGATGTCCATCTATCAAGATGATCTATCCATTCTATGTTTTATTGTTGTTATCGGTTGTTTGAGTAATTTAAGAGGATGTTTCATTCCCTCTTGTTGTATTTCAAAAACTTAATTAATGAATTAAGGGTTGCACAAAAAAAAAACTTTTCCTTTTATCACAAATTGTATTCGATTGCAAAGAATAAAGTTCAGAGGTAAAAAAAAAAAAGGTTGTACTGCCACAAAGTTAATTGAATAAATATTAGTTAGCACTGTAAGTCTGATTTTAAATCCTTGATCAGTATTTATGTGATAAGTTCCAACCATTCAAACACATGCCGTTCAAGCGTTACTTATATAATTCAAAATACTAATTAATTCTCTAAAAGAGAAATACATTTATTAAATTTGCTTATGTGTTTTAATTTTATTAGTTCAAAAAGATGACATGGTTTGTAAAAAAATGTGACATGATTTAAATTTGAATAAATTAATTAAAATAATAAAACTAAAAAATAGGAACAAAAAAAATTGGGATTTTTAATTGGAACAAAAAAACTCCTAAATAATCTCCAATTACAACGTTTTTTTATTATAACCATATCAAATTCTAATCTTAAACCAATATAAAACGATGGTATTTTTAAGTTTTGAAAATCTATTTACAAACTTTTCATTTTTCTCCAAATAGTTTACAATATTTTACTGCATTAACTCCAAACATATCTACGAAAAACAAATTTGCAGACCAAACTTTAATTCTCAAATTAATATAATATATATTTATATTAACATAAATTCCAAAAATCTATCTCAATAATATCCGATTTGTTGATAAAATAATAAAAAATCAAAACAGTTTTTTTAAAGTGCCAAAAGAGAGAGGCTTTAATGTTCATAAATCAACCTAAAATAATCATATTCCTATAATAGAAAATATTCTTCTTAATCGATAATAATTCTCTTATTATTATTATTTGGAAAGTGCAATTAGTGAAAAAATTTAACTTCATTAGTTTTAATAAAAAAACTATGACATAGCAAACATAAATGATAACATGTTTTTAAAATAAAGATGAATTGGCTTAAATCGCTACTCAATATTTTGATACAAATTTT